CAAGATACTTGTATGAAGGGCAGGGACAACACTGAAACTAATGGTTAATTCTACAATTGGGGAAAATATCTTTCATCTGCTTTGTCTGTAAAATGGTTGTCTGTCAGATATTTCTCTAAATCTGAGCATCCAGATTAAGACACATTAGGAAGAAGAATTGTCCATCCATTTCCAAAATAAGCAGGCCTCTAAAAACCCTATGGGGCAACTGAGGCAAAGCTTTTAAATATGGAAAATACAAAGGAAGAGGAACAGCTGTAAGTAGTGACTGGAACATGGAATGTGAGAACTATGAGTGTAGGAAAAGTGGAATGCCTAAATATTGACATACTAGGTATTGCTGAGATGAGATGAACTGGCATGGGGCATTTTTAGTCATATGATCATATAATCTATTACTCTGGAGATGAAAAGGTGAGGAAAAAGTCATTTCTAGATCCATCTTGAAATACAGTAACATGAGTGATAGGATAATATCCATACACATATAAGTAAGTCCAGTGAATACCACTATCACTAAGATATATGCACCAACAACTAGAGCCAAAGAAGAGGAAATAAAAGACTTCTACCAACTTTTACAGTCAGTGATTGATCGAACATGTAATCAATATGTATTAATAATAATAATAATAGGTGACTGGAATGCAAAAGTTGGGAACAGAGAAAAAGGATCAGTAGTTGGAAAACATGGACTCAGTTGCAGAAATGAAGCTAGAGACAGAATGATTGAATTTTGCACAACCAATGACTTATTCATTGCAAATATGTTTTATAAGAAACATAAATGCAGGCTATACACATAGATTTCACCTAATCGTATGCATAGGAATCAAATTGATTACATCTGTGGAAAGAACCTCTGGAGAAGTTCAATATCAGCTGTGAAAACTAGGCCAGGTGCTGATTGTGGAACAGACCACCAACTACTCAGCAAATTCAAGCTGAAGCTAAGGAAAATTAAATAAAATCCACGGGAACCAAAACATGACTTTGAATCTATCCCACCTGAATTTCAGAACCATCTCAGGAACAGGTTTCAGGCCTTGAACACCAGTGAGCGAAGACCAGATGAATTGTGGGAGGATATCAAGAGTATCATCCAAGAATAGTGTAAAGGTCATTCCAAAGACAGAGGAGGAAGAAAACACCAAAATGGATGTCAGAAGAAACTCTGAATACTGCACTGGAGCACAGAGAACCAAAGCAGAAGAAAGAATTCAAGATATTAAAGAGCTGAACAGAAGATTTCAAAAGGTAGCGCTGGAAGACAAAGTAAAATATTATAATGAAATGTGCAAGGAGCTGGAGTCAGAAAATCAAAAGGGCCAAACTCGCTCAGCATTTCTTAAACTCTAGGAACTGAAGAACCTAGAGTTGCTATACTTAAGGATGCTTTGGCAGAATATTAAATGATCGAGAAAATATTAAAAGAA